CATCTTTTCCTTCCTCATTCAACTACTAAAGGGGGAATATTCACAATGTTGATTTTATTAGTCTCGCTGGGATATCTTGAAGATTCATTCAAGGAAAATGAACTTGACGCGCGGGATTGACTTAAAGAAGATAGCAGAAAAGATGAGCGGTGCTTCGGGGGCTGAACTTAAGGTGAGTTGGAATGGGCGGTTTAATATTCTGCTGCGTGTTTGCTGGATGGACTGACATAGCAAGTTAAGAGCCTCATTTTTAATTTTAAAAAGAAAACAAATTTTCACCCATGTATGTGTACATGCCTGCAGGCTGTTTGTACTGAAGCTGGGATGTTTGCTCTGAGGGAGAGAAGAGTCCACGTGACACAAGAAGATTTTGAGATGGCAGTTGCCAAGGTTATGAAGAAGGATACCGAGAAGAACATGTCCTTGCGCAAGCTCTGGAAGTAAATATATATACTAATATATATATATACTACTACTATATCATGCCTTCATTATTCATCTTCCGTTCTTCGGATATTACTGTCCGTGTAGGCTATGCAGCAAGAGTGTGAGCTTATTCTGTTTCCTTGTATCAACACTTCTTTCAAACTTGCCCATTTTAGATGCGTTTTTGCACTTATTACGTACTATTATCTTTGAAGTTTCTCGACTTCTCAACTATTCAAGTTCACCGAAGGTCCGAAACTAAGTTGTCATCGGCCTAAATGCCTAATGTGTGATTGAAGTTTGGGTTTAAAAGACAATTTTGAGAAGTTCTTTGTGGAATTTGGCTGTTGTTTCATGTTGACATTTGGATACTACTCCGTCCGTAGTACTATCTATGGAGTGCTGGTTAGGGTTTTATTTTCTAGAATCCAACCAAGTAAATCTCAATCTGAATTAGTTACTATCAAGTTACTCGTGTGCACGATTGGTGATTCTTTATTACATACTTCCTCCATCCCATTTACAGGGGTGTCCTCAACATTGATTTTGAGGGATTTTAAAAGATTGTGAATTTCATGAATTTTAATGGAATTCTAAAGATTCTATGAGATTCTTTTACAATTCTATGGATTTCAAATGGATTTTAATTCCATATCCCACAACTTTATCCCAATAGTTGCTGCTACTTTGAACGGAGTACCTAGAGCCCACAAATCCACAGTATGAAACCTTCTCCTTCCCCAACAAGCCCACAAATCTGAATTAGTGTTGCAGCCAGCGGCCTTCTCCTTCCCCAGCAAGGAAAGTCAAGTCTCCGGCAATTTCTCTCTTTGTTTTCTATACTAGGTCCAGAAAATCCCCCAATCATTTTCTATACTGCTTTGCCTTGACCATGAACTTCAAATCAGAATTGGTGTTGCAGCTTCCGCCGCCGGCGAACGTGGAAGCCTGTTCAATCGCATCTTCAGTGACGGTGCTGGCCACAGAGGAAGCCTCTGATTGTCGGTCTCTCTTCCGTCCAGCAGTCCTTCGTCTTCTTTGAACAACTAGTCATGATGAGAATTGAACAAACAAGATTGAATAATAATTACCGGCTAAGAAGCTGCACGAAGCAGAGAAAATGAAAGGGGGAGAAATCCATTAGAATCCGATGAGGGCTGGTGGTATTTTGTCAGGAGTGTTTTATGTGTAGAAATCCATTACAATCCTTTAAAATCCATTAGAACAAATTAGAATTAAAATCCATGGAAAGATTGAGAACACCCGTATTTTAATGGAATCTTTTAAAATCCATTAAAATCCAAATTGAGAACACCCAGATTGTGATGGATTTCTAAAATCTTTTAAAATCCATTAAAATCCATATCGGGGACACCCCCCTTAAACATCCCTGTCCACTTTTCACATGCTCAACTTAAATCATTCTTAATCTTTCACTTTATATACTACCTCCGTTCTTAAATAAATGCAACATATGGAAATTTACATTATTCACATGTTCTACTTTGACTACGTTTTATTTATTAATGTATTAATATTATTTTATGAAAAAAATATTGTTAAATTTGTCTCATTGTAATGTATCAAATATTTATCAAACTTACAATTTTTTATTAGGCTTTGTAGCGGTTTTAATGTAGTTTCTGAATATGTAAATTTTATTTACTAAAAATAATCAGAGTGTGAATAAGGATTAAGTTGTTTTATCGTCAATCAGACATCGTAAACTGCAATTGGAACCTCTTAATGGGACGGTGAGAGTAGCATGAATGCCTAGTTAAGTTGGCTAAAGTGTCAAATGGGCCCTCGAACTAACTTAAAACGTGCAAATCACCTCTTATATAGGAGGTTCTGCCATCGCCATTTGGGATAGTTCATGATGAATTTTTTCGATGAATTTTTTTGAGCATCTTCTTCATCAAGTCTAGTTTACCCATACCAAATCTCAGATAAAAATTCAACCGGCAAGACAGTCAAATGATTTTATGAAATATATTGCGATGAAATATAAAAGTTCATTTGACTGTCTTCCCGATTGAATTTTTATCTGAAATTTGGTATGAGTAAACTAGACTTGATGAAGAAGATGCTAAAAACATTTCATCAAAAAATTCCATCGGGAACTGCCCCAAATGACGGCGGCCGGACAAAGTCTCTTATATAAGGGATGATTTGCAGTTTTTAAGTTAGTTCGAAGGTCTATTTGACTCTTTAGCCAGTTAAGTTTAAGAAGAATAAATCATATTGGCCTTGTTTGATGAATGACTTATCAATTTTATTTTTGGCTAATCTGATCATATTTAATTCATTTCTTAAAATCCAAGCCCGACCTGGACCGTTAAAAGCCAGATTTTAGTAAAGTTAAGAAATTGAAAATATACATTTTATGTATAGTACTCCGTACGTAATAATATAACTTATATGGTAATATCTCTGTTCTAGGTAAAGGTTTTTCGTTCACTATTTTCCGGATAACACAAATTGTTCTTAATCGTGTGTGGGTTAAATGCACCAAATCCCCCTGTGATATGGAAAGTAAGCGCATTAGCCCTCTGTGATTTGAAAAATGCGTCAAACTCCCTTGAGTTTTAATTAATCATGCACAGAACCCCTTATATGAATACATTTAACGATTTGAAAATCTCTTTTCCTAATATTTTGATTGAATATGCAAGTAAATATGTCAAAATCTCTCAATCATGCAAAAATGTTAACCATTTTACTTTTATTTGAGAATTGAATTTGTTAACAGAAGGGATTTTGCGCATAATTAATTAAAACACAAGGGTGTTTGGCACATTTTTCAAATCATAGGGGGGTAAGGGGGCTAATACGCCGAATTTCCATATCACAGGGGGGTTTGGTGCATTAAACCCTACCTTTATATATCCAATTTTCATCAAAATTGAGTTTTTTTACGATTTTATAAAGCTTTTAACGTAATTTCTGAATATGCAGATTTTATTTATAAAAAATAATCTTATTACTGATCACATTGATCAGTTACTTTATAATCAGTCAAACATCGTAAACCAAACAAGAACCTTTACCCTGGACGGAGGGAGGGAGTATATGTTAATCTAAACTATATAACCAAGGTAATTACTTACCTCTAGAAATCTTTAGGTTTTGGACTCTTAATTCGTAAATACTTATCTTTCTATTGGAACTCTAAAAAAAATCAGGATTTGTTTTATCTACTCGCTTTATTACTTAAAATTTTGTCAAGTTTGACCGACATTAGGATTAATAAAGTAAAAATCGTGTAGTTAATTTTGTGCAGATGAGAGAGAATTATCTGAAACCACAAATTTTCTACTAAATAGGTAAAGTGGCAAAATTAGCGAGACAATAAAAAAAGGAAAGTTGATAAAGTTTTAAGGGACAAAATAATGGACTAATATATATAAATAATTTACACACATACGTAATATTATATTTGTCTTTTACTTTCCTTTGCTTTTGGGTACGTTTGGAAAGCTGCGGATTACCCAACCCGCTATTCCTTTTACTCTTAGAAACGCTGCAAAATGGAGCAGGTGGGTACCAATCCGCCGTAAAACAAACGAGGCCTTTGTGGTTCTCCACACCAAACCAAAGCGGCAAATCAGGAGAGCAACATTTTTTCTTGAGTCTAAAATCTACTCACCCGTCCCGCAATTATCTTCACACTTTGACTTCACACAGATTAAGAAAATAAATTTAACTTTACTCTAAAGTGCATTGTTTTGCACTGTTTAAACACAGTTTGACACTGTTTGGACACTGTTTGACACTCTTTGACACTCTTTGACATTGTTTTGATGTAGAAAATGTGTCAAATAAGGAAAGTTTTGAAGTGTGAAGGGAGTAAAATTATTATATCCATTTGAAGTGTGAAGTGTCAAAACAATGTGCCAAACAGTGTCAAACATTGTTTTGCATTATTTTTTTCTTGAGTCTAAAATCTACTCACCCGTCCTGCGAGAATTTGTTTACGGGATGGAGGGAGTAAAATATTATATCCATTATTCTTCACTCAGGTATCTTAGTTTGTATTTACTTAGTATTTATTTGCTTTGCTATTTTTAGAATATTTTGCTTATTGTATACGAAGTCCGAGACTCTGAGGGAATGTTGCAATGGTGTATTTTGGAAAAAAAAAATCACTTTGTGATTTTGGAAAAAATGTTTGGTAAAAGTTGGTAGTGTTTAGGAAAAATTGATTTTGAAAAGTAAAAGTTGGTACTGTTTGGTAAAATTAGAGCTTGTTGTGTAATAGAAAAAGTAAAAAATATATTCTAGCTTTTAACTTTTTAGTGTTCAATTTAAGAAATTGTCTCTTGAAAACACTATTTTTAGCTTTTTTAATTCAAAAGGTGAGAAACGTTTTTTAAGCGTTTGCAGATACTGCCTGAAACACTCTCTAATCTGAAGATTCTTTTCCCGCATCTAACGGTACCCGACTCGAACTCAACCTGAACCCGAAGCTCTTAAAACCCGGACTAGCTCGAAAGTATTGATCTTTTCATTAGGCTCAAAAAGTGAAAACAAAGGTTTCTGGGGTTTTTAGCCTAAACCTGGCCCAACCCCACCCATGATGTGGTACCGGGTACGGGTCAAATGAAATTATTTATCTCCGTCCATGTACTCTGGAAAGACGGCTTCTTTTGAGAAGCCATGCGGGAAGAAGATGATGAAGCAGCACGAAGGGGATTGAATCGGCAGCATGTTCTATGAGCTGGATCAGCCCGTCTCACGGAATAAGACCTGTGAGGCGGACTCAAAAACCCACGTACGCGAGGCACAACTATCCTCGGCGAACTTATATAATGGCCGCAACCCTAATTTCTTTTCCTCCTCAAACCACTTTTATCGGGAAAGCAGATCGGTGCATGCTCTCTTTCCTTCATTCATCCGCAACCGGATTCTAGGAGGGTTTTCCTTGTCATCAGGTACACCAATTTGGCAATTGAGATTATGTTTTCTGATTATTTTCTTTCTGCTTTCACATTGGTTTATTTGATTGCGTGTGAACGGACTTCAAATACAGGCTGGGGTTTTAGCATATTGTAATTTTCTTATTTGCTTTTGTATTGGATTTCTTGATGCGTAATGTAATTTCCTGATGGGATTCCGAAGATAAACTCGCTCCCCGACCTACAATATGAAAAAATTGCGATACCCATTATAATCGAGAATATCATTGGAAAACAAAACAGACTCTAATTCAGAAAAAAGAGGGTTTTGCTTGTCTATGTATCATCTCTAGCATATTTATCAAAATGTAGAGAAGAGAAACTAATTTTGTGGATTGCAGTGCTGAAATATTTTGAAACTAGAATCTCATTTGTTGCCCCTCCTATGTTATTTAGATGTATGCATATTCCAACCAAACTTTAACATTTATTTTTGTCAAATGGTATCTTCAAGCGACAACAACTTTAGGCATTGTATATTTGAGAGTATGAGCTTCTGGGTTTGAGACCAAAAGGCATTAGTGTTTGTGTCCCAATCACCCAATATTCCGTAGAAGAATCTACTGGGTTCGAAGCGGATATTGAAGAAGACAAAAGTAATATGGTGTAGAAGTTTCAATGATCATCTGTACTTGTTTTTTTTATTCTATTTCTGCAAAAAGTTTCAAGTATGTAGTCTGGTAATTATATATCAAGATTTTTTTGAAAACTGATTACGTACTCAAATATTTCCATAAGGATCACAAATTGCTTTGGTCCAAAACTGAAAGGAATTCTTGCTCACATACGAAGCACTCAACTGTTTAGTAAGTAATGTACTCAGCTTCAATGGTATTCATGGTAGAGTATGATTTCTTGAATATTTTAAAACTGTTTTAATTTTTAAGCGGAAAATAATTAAAATACTCCAAACTTTGAAGAGGTGTGAGGTAAGAACCCAAACTTGCATATGTAATTTAAATACCCCAAACTTTATATAAATAGTTATTTTAGCACCCTAGTCATGTATTATTTTTTCTTAAATGTCAATTTTTGGTTTTAATTTCATAATTTAAAATATTTTAGCATTCATAAAGATACAATTAACATTTTAAACTTCCACTGTAAAATAAATAGTATTACTCTCCACTCTATATAATTGCAAATTTTTCAATTTGATAATTTAAATTATGCAATTAACATCATAAATTTAATATTTTTTTAAGAAATGATATATGACCATGGTGTTAAAATAACATTTTATATAAAGTTTGAGATATTTAAATTACATGTGCAAGTTTGGGGTGCTTATCTCCATGGTTGTCACGGCGTCGACTAGGCGTCGCCTAGGCGCCGACTAGGCGTCCTGGCGATGGAGAAGGGGCGCCAGGGGAGATCGACTCGCCGGAAGACTAGTCGCCTCCGGCGTCGCCTAGGCGTGAATATGTCGTCCAGACGCAGTATTGACGTGAAGCCAGGGGAGATTTGAAATCTCAATAAATTCGTTTTTTGAAGCCCAACCCAAAAGAACAATCATCGACTCTCAAACTCGAAGCTTAATCGACGACTCCTAAAGGCGAATCATCGCTAGTCGTTACTTCTCTGATTATTTGTGCCTCTGTCGCAAGGTTGAAGACAAGTAGGAGATCTGTAGTTGATGCGTTCCTGGCACTCCTGCATCACAAGGTTGAAGACGATGTGCACCCTTCCCAGCCTTTTATTTTTATCGGTCACTCATCTTAACACTTTAGTCTTTATCAGACTTCTTATTCCACTATATATTAATATTAAGTATTAATATTAATACTGCGTACCCACTAAGCAGTATACCCACTACGGAGTACAATTTTACATAGTTTAATTTTAATATAATATATGCATATTTCGTACACAGTATACAGTATGTATAGATACACACTACAATATATACTAGCAATGCATATCTTGTATATTAATAAATTAGATATATAATAAATTAAAAAGTAGGTATATTAATATTGAAATAAATAACTTGTATATTAATCAATGTTCTAAAAGGCGCTAGGCGCTAGTCGGGCGCCAGTACAGCGCCTAGCGCCTAGGCAGCCAGGCGGGTGCCTAGGCGGGGATTAATCGGAACATGGAAATTATAGTTTTATTAATATTTTTGCATAAACATGATTAATAATGTTGTGTTTATGTGTATATAAAATATAAAAACACACATTCACACACTAGCATGCATGAATGATAAGAGTTTTCACATTTAATAACATATTATACATACTTACTTCTTAACTTCAAGTAATATTACGTAATAATTATTAATAAATAATAATAACACTTAAGAATACATATATAAAAGCATGTATAGTATTTATATTAATCAACAACTAGTGGTTTTCTTCATATGCGTTGTTATAGTTAAACATACATATATCTCTTAGAATACTAAAATAAAAAGCAAAATAAAATGTTCGATGAATCTATATGACTAGGCGGCCGATTAAGCGCTCTAGGCGGGTAGTTAGGCGCCTTAGGCGGCCGACTAATTCACCTAGGCGCCAAATCAATTAGTCGGAGCGCCTAGACTAAAATCGGGGCGCCCGAGTACCGCCTAGCGCCTAGGCGGGGACTAATCGGACGCCTAGAGCGATTTTTAGAACCATGATATTAATCAATTAGGTATATTAATATATTAATAAATTATTTGGCAATATACAATTGCATTCATAATATATCTTATATAATATATAATTAAATTACAAATTACGTATAGTTAAATAGAATGTTATATTATATATAAATTATAATTATATATATTGTGCGACAAGTCGCCTAATTGTCACCTAGGCGGGCGCCTTGTCGCCTAGGCGATATGGCGGTCGGCTGGCGCCGCGACTCGCCTTAGCGCCGTGACAAGTATGCTTATCTCACACCCCTTCATAGTTTGGGGTATTTTAATTATTTTCCCCAATTTTTAATGATGTGCTTGAGGCCTTGATATAATCATGATTATTTTTTCCCGCACTTTCAGGTAATGAAGTTTATTTTTTTATTAAAGTATTTAATTGATAGACTGTAAATTCTTTGGTACTATAATGATGAATTGCTTCTGCAGGTAGTGATGTCAAACCGCAAGAAAGAAAAACTGAAGCTCAAACTATACCATGATGCTGATGATGATGAGTATGGTGGTGGTAGTAAACGTCATAAGAAAAACAAATTACTCTCCCACTTGTTCCAAGAGGAAGCAGAAGAGGTCGGTAGTGGTGAAGAAGAGGAAGAAATCCAAGAAGATGATGACTTCATTGACGCCACTCCAGAAGCAGACATACCCGACATTGAGCATGACATACATACTCATCTGCTCCTTCCACATGATGATCAAGATGAAAATTTTGATGATTTACAAACAAGGATCCAGCAGAGATATGCTTATCATAATTATAACGATGAGGAGCAGACAACCAATGAGGTTATTGAACAACAAGCTCTAGTGCCATCTGTGAAGGATCCGAAACTTTGGATGGTAAAGTGTGTGATTGGTCATGAGAGGGAGGTAGCAGTTTGTTTAATGCAAAAATCTATTGCCTGTCCTGAAAAAATGAAGATCACGGCAGCTATATCAGTTGATAGTTTAAAAAACTATGTATATATCGAAGCTGAAAAGGAGGCTCACGTTAGGGAGGCTGTTAAAGGTATGCGAAACATATACCCTAACAGTAAGGTTATGCTTGTACCTATCAAAGAGATGACTTCTGTGGTTTCTATCGAGACCAAATCAGTAATTGATGTCCATGTCGTTAAGGATACTTGGGTTAGAATGAAGAGTGGTACATATAAAGGCGATCTGGCTAAGGTTGTTGATATTGACAATGTGCAGCATAGGGTTATGGTGAAATTAATTCCAAGAATTGACTTGAAGGCATTGGCTAATAAATTACAAGGAAGTGAAGTAGTGAAGAGTAATGTTGTTACTCCTCCTGCACGTTTTATCAATGTTAATCAAGCTAGAGAGTTGCATATTCGTGTGGAACGCACAAGAGATCTATCTAGTGGTGTTTACTATGATAACATTGGTGGGATGCTATTCAAGGATGGGTTCCTTTACAAGAAAGTGTCCATGAAATCTGTAACGACACTAAATGTACAACCAACTTTTGATGAATTTGAGAAGTTTAGGCAGGGGGGTCAGATGCCTAGCTTTTTTGGTAATAGCAAAAGGAATGGCTGTTTCATGAAGGGCAACAGGGTTATTGTTGTTAAAGGAGACCTGAAAAATTTGAAGGGAACGGTGGAAAAGGTTGAGGAAAATATCATACACATTAAACCAAATGAAAAAGGGCTCCATAAAACATTGGCTATTAGCGACCGAGAAATTTGCAAGTATTTTGAAGTAGGGAATCATGTGAAAGTTGTGTCTGGTGCAGCTGAGGGTAAAACTGGAATGGTGGTGTCGATCGAGGGACACATTGTGAACATAGTCGTGGATGCCACTCAGGAACTTGTCCGCGTGTTTGCTGCAAATGTTGTGGATATTAAACTTTGAGACTTGAGAGGTGGCTCTGGATTCATGATGATATTTTTGTTGCTTTTTAGTACTTTTAGGTTTTCTTGGGCAACCATATTTTTTTGGGCACATCCTTCATCATTTTGGCTTATCAGTAACAATTTTCGGATAGCATAAGACAATTAGTGGTCGTTTTTATGGTGACATTTAAATAAAATTTGCAATTTGCATGCAATATAATAATAATGCATATTTATACGTAGTATTCGTATTTGTTTGGGTTTGTCCAATCAGGAGCAAATAGTACAATACACCCTCTTATTTAAACTTCGTATTTGGATTTGACAAAACTTTACTAATAAAATGGTAGAAAATGAAAAGATGTGACATTTGTGACCATCCGAAAATGAAAAATAAGAAATTTCTTTGGAAATGTTAATAAATGCTGTGCTTAAGTTATAACTTATAAGGAATATATGCCTTTTAATGCATAGTGGTGAGTAAAAATATGTTTGTTATGTTCCATTGGATTTTGACAATTTGCCCTTTTTATTTGTTTAAAAATTTTGTCTCATTCTCGAAGGCTTTTTTTTATTCTTTGGGTGAATCTTAATGACATAGTTCTCACTTTTCATATTTAACACTTGATCCAAAGTTGGCAATCCCTAATGGAATGAAAATAGTCTATCGTACTTACCATATCCAAATATATGGAATTTATCAAAAACTTAGATTTATCCACATTTTCAATCAGTATGGTAGTATGGTACTACATATTACTTTAGTATGATATCAATATTATTTTGAAAACATACATTGATATATCATTATATCGAAAAGCTTATCCGAATAATTCCTTTCAAATTATATAATGACTGGAAATACAACCCCTCTCAAGGATAAATAATTTTGTATCCATGTTTGAATTTGTTTTACATTGTTGTTAGAGATCATTTTTATTTTAAATTTTATCAATTCAAAATCTGAAAGAGAAATAATATCGATATAAGGCTGAGATGATTGAGAATCGTCAATCAAAGACCTAAAATGATAGATTTTGATTCAATTTTTTTTATATTAATCCCATTGTTAATTATTGATGTTTTTTCATCACAAAAGTTATTAGTTTAATTAGATTAAATAATATTTAGTTTCTTTAAAATGAAAAATAGGATTAGATTCTTCTTCCTATATCACTATTTATGGTCCTTTGTGAATCGTGAGAATATATTTGCTGAAATAAGATTAGAGTTTTTGATATTTTCAGCCCCCAACTATTGTGTCAGTGACACTTGATACTCGACTTTTAATGTATTCATTTTTAATCCTCTACTATAGTGCGATAGACACTTTTAGTCCTTAACTTCAAAGCTTCTCACATTTAGTCTAACCACTATGATTTTGTCATTTTGACACAACAAATGAGGACTAAAATGTAATTATTATAATAGTTGAATAACCAAGTGTCACTTTTATTAAAGTCGAATGACTAAATAAGATTTTTTTTTGAAGATGAGTACCAAGTGTGTTTCGCATAATAGTCGAAGAATTAAAAGTGAAAAAATCAAAGTCAAGCATAAAAAATGTCAAGACATAATACTTGGAGGATTAAAAGTGGCAAAAAATCAATAGGATTATAAGGCCTATATTTGAACACGGTGAGATTCGGTCTGCCCAAATTTGAAGATACGAGTAATTATTATTTTTTTGTTTTTTTGAAAAAGCGATAACGGTGAAATATCTGATAGAGCCGCACTCTCTATCTGTCAGATTGTGATTATAGTCCAATTTACATTCTCCCATCGTGTCGTCCGGTCGGTGTTGGGGGCCCTCAGGGATGGAGTGTCATCCTTTTTCTGTATTGCCAATATTGAAAGGAAGAACTTGGAGGAGCAAGACACATGAGGAGATAAGCAATAACCTAAGGCAGTGTTCTCAAACGAAGCGAACATTGTCCACCTATTCCCAATTTGTTTTTTTTCTCTAGTATTTTAATATGAAGTTATGACTCAGTTTTGCGTGATCATGTCTTCCTCCCAGTAAGTGTGGATTTTGGATTAGTATCACGTACTCTAGGGTGGGAATATCAGATTTGGTTCGGTTTGGAGAGGGTTGGAAGAATTATTATCAAATAAAAATCTTACTATCATTCGGTTTGGTTCAGTTCGATTTGATTTAGTTTTAATTTATTATTTGAAAATAAATAATGGTTTTATTGAATTTCTTTAATTGGATTTGGTTTAATATGGTTATGAAGAAATACATTACCAAAGTCAAACTAAATTGCATATGACTTGATTTCGATTTGCTTTAATTCGGTTTGATATGATTTGTTTTGGTTAAACCAAATCGATATGGACCGCCATAATATACTCATTTCATATTTCTTTTCACTACTCTGAAAAAATAGTATGAGTGATGTCCAGTTTGTATAAATGTGCTTCTAATATTGGTGTCGGAGGCAATTTTTTGTAAAGGTGTTAGTATAAAAGTTTACGGGCTAATATGTAACTTTTAAAGATGGAGGATTTTTAGGACAAATTTTGACCAACCACTTACTTTTTTAAGTTTACTTTTTAACAATTACAATTTCATTTTTATGTTTACATATTTCTCTTTTAATTATAATATTTGGATTATATTAGGTCGTGCATTGCATGAGTGAGATACATATAATATTGTTTTTGTTTTAAAGAAGTTCTCATTCATTATTCATTTGGTCAATTTAAATAGACGCTAATATTTTACTTTATAGATTCAACTTTTATCAAATTTGTTTTTTGGAGTTACAAATTTTTTTAATATATTAGTAAATTTCAGTTGATAAAAACAATTTGAATACCAACCAAAAATAGAATCTGAATATCGATAGGGATTTGTTAATTAAATCACACATTTAGTGTTAACACAAGCACACAACATATACTACCTTCGTTCTTAAATAAGTGCAACATTGCAAATTTTACACTATTCACATATTCTACTTTAACTACATTTTATTTATTGATGTATTAATATATTTTTTTGGAAAAAAATATTACTGAATTTGTCTCATTGTGAATTTTCAAAATCTATTTTTTTTAAATTTTTGCTAATAGAGAGTTATACTACGTATATATTAATGATCAAAGTTATGTCTCAACAAATGTGAAATATGAACTGTTGCACTTATTTAAGAATCTAAAATAATTTACTAAAAAAACCTTTCTCTCCACGCATAGGAGACTTATCCCTTTGAAGAACCCGAAAAAAGAATTAAATTTATCACGACTAGACTACAAAGTGCAAACTCCAGAATAAAGCCGAAAGCCCCTTAAAGCATCTCCGTTGACGTCGTCTTCATCATGTGTGTGCTTCAACCATTTTTTCAATCCTCCCGATTCACTCTATAATTCTCGCTGCTATTCATGAAAATTCACAATTCGCTTTCGAAACTCCGTTTTTTGTTATTTATTTTGAACTCCAGGCTCTTAACTTGGTGAATTGATCATTGTTTAACGATCCACAGTGAGATATATATATATTCTCCAATAAGATTAGGGATTTTGGAGGGCGGATTTGCTTTGTTGTTCTTACAAGGAGTAGGATCGATGAATGGAGAAGTACAGCTGGAGCCTTTGGGAGGCCCTAATCCTAGCGACTCCGATCCTCTGCTAAACGAAAACCGTGAGGACCCGACGCCACCTCTTTCTTCTGAATCGGAGAGCTCCAACGAGATAAGGGTAGAAGATTTGGAGACTGGTTCTCTGCCTTGCTGCAGAATTTGCCTCGAGTGCGATGGCCAAGATGGTAGTACTCCTTATCAATTTATTTTATTCGGAGTATATATTGCCACTATGTTTACGTAGTTGTTTATCAACACGTGCTGAGCGATGATTTTTGTTCTCGGTCTCACTATTTAGGTATTATAAATTCGTGTATGAGGAGTTTAATGCGGTTCTTGTTTTGTAAGAGATAGTTTGGAAATGTAGTTGGAAAAAGTCGGGAGCTAGTTTAATTCTGTTCATCACTATTTGTATGTGTCTCTTCAAATATGTTCGGTCAAGTTTATGTGTGGTGGTTAGTGCTTGGGCAATTGTACTATTGTACTATGTACTTTGACAAGAAGGAATCCAATAAATCCATTATTAAAAGACGAGTGCTACTCTACACATTTGTTGTACACACACTGTTGCTGTGTACAACAAATGTGTACAAATGGCTTTTTCCTTATTAAAATCATCATTTGTCACTAGTGGTTTGATGAACCTAGTTTTGCTTTCCTCTAACTAATCCCATTTTCAGATGATGATTTGATATCGCCGTGCATGTGCAAAGGCACCCAACAGTTTGTGCATCGCACTTGTCTTGATCATTGGCGATCAGTCAAAGTGAGATATTACAACTCCATTATTACAATCCAGCCCAATGGTTTAATATGAAATGATGACTTCTGATGTATATTGTATTGTAGGAAGGATTCGCATTTTCACATTGTACTACTTGTAAAGCTCAGTTTCATCTTCGAGTGGCAGAGTTAGAGGACAGCAGTTGGAGGAATATAAAGTTCAGACTCTTTGTTGCTAGGGATATTTTTCTTGTCTTTTTGGCTGTACAATCTGTACGTATTTGGCCTTCCTTAATGTTTGCACTTATGTTGCTTCTACTGAATGTGTCTTTTCACCAGGCGAGTGTTTTTAAGCCCACTTTGTGTATACTGAAAGCATTCTTTTTTTTGAATGGATATGTGCTTAAGATGCTTGTATCTCTAGGGTTTCTTTAAAAAAATGAAAAGATGAAGAGGAAAACATGCACGTTTGGAACTAAAATAGAAAGACTGAAGATTTTTTTTACCAGTTGTATTTTTTTTCCCCTGAAGGTAATGGTGTTAAATTTGGTACAATCTTGAACCACATTTTGAACTTCATTTAATTGTTATTGTCCTTACTTTTACTTGACAGGTGATTGCAGTGATTGGTGGCTTTGCTTATCTCATTGATAAAGATGGAACATTTAGGAATTCATTCAATGACAGTTGGGACCGAATATTATCCAAACATCCTATTCCCTTTTATTATTGCTTAGGTAAGCTCCCCCACTCACCAAAAAAGATTGTATATGTAGGTTAAGGCTTTGATGCTGTTATATGTAGGTTAAGATACAATAATATCATTGAATTTCTGGAGTAAATGTAGTACTGAACCATATCTTGTCCAACATGATACCTCCTTTTGTTATTGTACTGGTAAGCATTGTAAGTTTGTGAAATTGCAATAATCGGATTATTTGGATAAAAAATGCAATTCGTTTGTTGCAGAAATGTTCTTAATAGAG